TTTTTATCTTTTTATATATTTTTTTATAAAAAATTAAATAACCAATTAAAATAATTAATTCCCAAACCAGAAAATTTACTCCCGCAACAAAAGGACACAATGTTTTGATGATGAGAACTGAGGGTAGGTTGTTGCCCATAATTTTTACAAGGACAATTCTTCTCTGTGTTTGTTGGGAGTAATTATTGAGCTATTTAAGGACTCGTTTGGAGACAGGTTAATTTAGTAATTTTTTGACTATTTAGTTAAAATATGAGTTAAAAAAATTAGTATGTTTGGGATAACTTTTTGACTTTTTATGAAAAGATGTGCAAAAAATAGAGAGGAAAGAGAATTTTTGATTTTTTAGTATGGATTGTTGACTTTTTGACTTTTTTAATAACTTTTTTACTTTTTAGCTAAACTTGTTTGTTGCCAAACGAGGCCTAAGTCTCGTTTAGGAACAGATTTTTTAATAATTTTTTAATTTTTTGACTAAAATATAATATAAAAAAATTAATATATTTGGGATAACTTTTTAATTTTTTATAAAAAGATGTGCAAAAAATATAAAGAAAATATAATTTTTGACTTTTTGGTAAGTTATCGGCTTTTTTATTTTTTTTAGTGACTTTTTAACTTTTAGGCTAAAAAGTGATATTGTCAAACGAGGCCTTGGTGTAATATATTATAGATTAAAAATTAATGATAAAAAAATAAAAGTAAAAACATGTCTTTCCTAATTTTTAAATAATTAACTTTTTAACTTAAATTTAATTATTTCTATCTATTAATTTATATCAACAAAAGTTGTATATAAAAAAACTATTTGGTGTAATTTATTTGAGCTCCTTATAATTTTTTTTTTAAATGGAAAAAGTCTATATCAAACCATGTAAATGAATTTATCATTTTTCAATCAATCGGTAAAGTATTTAGACTCAAATGCCAAAATTTTATTTTAAATACATAAATCTTAATCGATATTGTTCTTATTTATTATTATTTTATTTTTTTTTGTCCTTTTGCTTTGTCAACTTAAATCAAACTAGCATTTGACACGTACGTAATTCAAATAAATAAAAATTAAATAAAATATTTTTTATATATTATGTGCCACTAAAGTAGGAAGAATTTGTTTCACTAGACCAAGGTTTAAGGTTTGAGTCTCTTGCCTTTCATCTATTTAATTTTTTTTTCTGTTTAAAATAAAAAAATGAGGAGCACGTGATATAAGAAGAAGCAAAGATTTGAATACCAAATCCAACTTTATAATAGTATAAACCAAACCAAGTTAAGGTTAATTCAGCCCAAGAGCCCACCGTCATAACTTTGGGCTTTATGTTAAGGAACTTTGGTGAGTATTTGATGTTGAGTAAGGGGTGCTTGCAGATCAGTTTTGAATGGTTTAGTTTGTGGTTTGAACTTTGCAGTGCGGATTGTGGTTTGTGTGGATAGAATTCATGGATATGTGGGCGGTTTACAGATTAAACTTTTCTTTTAAAAATTTATTTTTGGGTCTGTTTTTCCCCAATTTCTAAATATTTATTTTGGGTCTTTTCTGTCATGACCCAACCTCAGTACCCAGGGGTTAGGCATCGCGACAATAAAAAAAATAATTCTAAAATTTTTATTTTAATAGTGCAAGCGGATAAAATAAAATAAATAGGTACCAAAAAAAATTTATTTAAAAGAAAATATTCATTTGAGCCTTGTTTAATTACAAGAGTCTAATCAGGATTACAAATAGTAAATACAAAAAAAAAATTGTGATTTATTTCCAATTTCAATCCCTCTAAATCTCATCACCTGAAAGAGGATAACAGTTATAAACACATGACAGAGTGAGAAATATTATACAGTGAGCATGAGGGTACAAAAATTATCATGGATAATTATTTAAGCTAATATATTAAATGATTCAGTTTGAATAAATAAATTATTTAAACAATAAAATTTTAATTCAGAATCCATATAAGCAAAATAATCATAATTACAGTATAGAACATAATAGGGGTCATCAAAGTGATAATCAAAACAAATGTCAATAGATTCACGACAAACAGAAGGCCACGAAGTGACCAATCAGAAGCCAATTATTTATTTAAGTCCCCCAACACATGAAACTCTCGTGATGGTACTTACAAAAGTAATTATTTATATAATCATTGTCAAATAATTTTAAAACTTTAAACAATCTTATTCATGAGTTTCAATTCAAACAAATAGAATTTAAAAAATAATTAACGTAATTAGAATAGTAATATAACTTACAAACATGAATTGTACAAAACAAATTATGATAACTTGAAACATACATAAAATAAATTAGATTATAATTCAAGATATAATATAACTCACCTTAATACTGCTCCCTACTATTTATTCCTTCCGAGCTCCTTACTTTTATTTACTGTTTCACTTTTCTTTTCTCCTGTTTTGTCTTGCCAAGGCCTCCACTCCTTATATATTGGGCCACAGACGCTGATTCATCACCCTATCATATTCATCCCTCATAGGCTCCATTACTTGGCCCTTTTATCCTCCCACATGACTTGTGTTAACCAAAGCCATCCCATTGTCACGTACCGACTTATTAGGGATGTGAGTTCTACACCAAGCACCTTGCGAGCGCATTAGTTTGTGAGCGGCAAAGCAGGCAGAGTAGATCCCTATCGCATCTCTTGAGTTGGTCCTTGGGCATAATACACGGGGGTATGCAGTACCACTCGTAGAGCCAGCTTCTCGGGAGGATGACAAGTGCCCAATCCATGACAAGTGGAATCAGGGCCAGCCTAGGGACATTGTGATGGGGACGGTACGTGGGACTTACACTAAACACCTTCATTGTGGGGTCCGCACCAAGGGTGGTGTCCGCGAGGGCACAGGTTTCCCGTAGTAGAGGAACGGACAAGCATGGAGGCAGATAGGGTAATGTCCCCCTAACAAGGGCGTCAAGGACTGGCGGTGGTAGCATGTCACGTACCAACTCATTAAGGATGCGAGTTCTACCCCAAATACTTTGCAAGTGCATTAGTTTGTGAGTGGCAAGACAGACAGAGTAGATCCCTATCATATCTCCTGGGTTGGTCCTTGGGTATAATACATGGGAGTATGTAGTACCACTCATGGAGCCGGCTTCTCGGAAGGATGACAAGCGCCCAGTCCGTGACATCATACTCTAATGACAACTTAACTTCCTAAGCATCCAACACATCTAGACCTTAGTCGATTTCTACCTTAGCCCACATAATTTATTAATTTTATTTTTAGGTTTAGTTTGGTCGAGAAAAATATTTTAATCACATTATTATATTTTGATAATAAACATGCTCTTAAGTATAATTATAAAATCATATATTTTGGAGTATTTTGGAAAGTTGATAAAAAGTTAGATTTTTGACTTTTTTAGTCTATTTTGTCTTTTTGTAGGTAAAAAATGTGAGATATGATATGACTTAAAATGGATAAAAAACTAAAAATTGGATTTTTATTTTCTTCCCAAAAGACCCCTTTATATTATCTTACTTTCTATTTACTTATTTATTTTTAATTAAATTAATTAAACAATTAGGATGTCATATTTTCTCCTCATTTTCTAAATATTATTTTAGACCATAAAATCACATATTTCTTATCATGAAATCATTATTTTCGAATGAGAAAGAGATCCTTAAAAAACTCTAAATATCAATAATTAATGAATTAAAACTTATAAAATTAAAAACACAACAAAATCAATTCATAACACAAGCAAAACAAATCAGATTTGGAAAAAAAAAATCTATCTACTAATATGGAAGATCAAGATCTACAATCCAAAATTTTTTGAAAAAAAAAAGTATAAGTGCGGGCGGGTATGTGCAGGCGCGGGTGAAACCTGCAACCCGCGCCGCAACCCGAAATATGCCAATATTTCAAACTGCATAACAGGTTTGAAACCGCGTGCACATGTGCGGATCAGATCGGATTGGGCGGTTTTCATAGGCCGAATGACCCTATAATTAGCCCTAACGTTGAATAAACTAAAGAGGCACTGCTCGAAAAAGAAAGAAAACTAACAGGGTCGGTTTGGGATGCGTTTGTCATCTCTTGCACCAGCTCCATATCATATTGAAGGTGGAATATATCAAGTGATTTGTTATATTGGCCCTATTTGGTAGGATTTATTTCCAGCTTATTTCAGTTTTTAGCTTAATTTAAGCTATTTTGATGTGTTTGGTTCAGCTTAACAATACAACTTATAGCTTTTTGTAAGTCAAAAATCAACTTATTCTTTGAGTGGGGGAGGAGAAACTTAATTTATAAGTCAAAAATCAATTTATGTTCATAGCTATAAGATATAAACTGTTAAACTATAAGTTATAATTACTTTCCCACAACTTTACTAAATGGAACCATTATTAGAAAATAATTTTAAAAGCCCAGCCAAATAAAGTTTAAAATTCTCATGAAAATATCGGCTCAACAAATTGAAAAGCACAGCCCAAGCCCAATCTCTGAAAGCCTGCCCAATAGAGAGTTGGGCTTAGAGCGAGAGAAAAGAGAATCTTTGACTTTTTGGTATGAGTTGTTGGCTTTTTGGCTAATTTAATAACTTTTTGGCTAATTGGCTAAAAAAGTAAGTCCCCAAACAGGGCCTTAGCTTAATTTAAGTTATTTTGATGTGTTTGGTTCAGCTTTAACAATACAGCTTATAGCTTTTTGTAAGTCAAAAATCAACTTATTCTTTGAGTGGGGGAAGAGAAGCTTAATTTATAAGTAAAAAATCAGCTTATGTTCATAGCTATAAGATATAAGCTGTTAGGTTATAAGTTATAATCACTTTCCCACAACTTTACTAAACGGACCATTATTAGAAAATAATTTTAAAAGCCCAACCAAATAAAGTTTAAAATTCTCATGAAAATATCGGCTCAACAAATTGAAAAGCACAGCCCAAGCCCAATCTCTGAAAGCCAGCCCAATAGAGAGTTGGGCTTAGAGCTCACCCGCCCAAGATTGATCTTTTTCTTCCTCGGTAGTTCAATGCTTGCACTTTATACACAGCTCTCTCTCTCTCTCTCTATCTCTCTCTCTCTCATGGCTCCTCCCAGAATTCTTCTCTGCGGAGATGTTCTCGGCCACCTCAATCAGCTCTTCAAACGAGTCTCATCGGTCTCTCTCTCCCTCTCTCTCTCTCTCTCTATATATATATATAAGCTAGGGTTTATCACTGTACAATATATGCAACCACTGATAGTTACACTGAATCTCTGTTGATTTTCATGATTTTTAGGTCAACAAATCAGCTGGTCCATTCGATGCTCTGTTCTGTGTAGGCCAGTTCTTTCCTGACTCGCCGGACTACCTCGAAGAATTCATGGACTACATTGAAGGACGCTCCCAAATTCCCCTCCGGACGTACTTCATCGGCGACTACGGTGTCGGTGCCATGAAGGTTCTGTCGGCCGCCTTGAAGGATTCGGGGAACCGAGGGTTTAAGATGGATGGGTTGAGAATTTGTGGGAATTTGTATTGGTTGAAAGGCAGTGGCAAGTTCACTCTCCATGGTATACCACAAATCTTTGAATTGTAGTTTAGTTCACTTGATTTCAGTTCATGAATTATGTAAAAGTGGTGTTAAGACGATGATTAAGCAATCTCTGTTCATATTGTATTGTAGTATCTGCACTAATTTTGATTGGGACCATGGACAATAATTTATTATCTATTGAAAATTAGAGGGTTATTGTTGTAAAATTGAATGAGTTGAGTTTGAGAATAGGAATCTCGAGAACTTGGTCATTCCCTGATCCTTACCTGCCAAAGTTTTCTTGACTCCAAATGTGGGTTGTGCAAATTAGGGGGCAATATCTTAGGCACTGGTTGATTGATTTTCTTGGTTTTTGGTTTGGCCTGGGTGCAAAACAGAGACGCAGTGGGTGTCCTTCAGAGTTGGAGAGGGGGTCAGGTGGGGAAGCGTCATAGAAAGGCTTGGGACCTGGCACCTTTATGTTTGATGTGGTTATTTTGGCTGGAGTGTAATAGGGGGATTTTCTAGGGTTTTGATGAACCAGTGGGTCGTTTGAAGTGGTGTCTGTTGCGAGTTTTGTAGAATTGGGTGTCGGGACAAGTGACCTGGATCTCAGCACCATTTTAGATTTTTTAGATACTCTTCATGGATAGGCTAGGATGGTTGTTTTGTTTCTTTTGTATTCTTTATCATGGACTTGATGCTTGCTTCTAATAATATTGCATTATTTATCCCAAAAAAATTGGTTAGATGTTACTGCTCTATTCGAGTCGTTGGCCGGAAGGTGCATAACCCCCAGTGGAGGATTTTGAAAGTGAGAAGGATGGCTAAGGATTTTAAATGAAGTGCTTATTCGAGTTGTTCTGGTATCTGCTGACTGGAATTTTCCTTTCTAAATGTCAAATGGAATTATGCCCATCATGGTCTCGTTGAAATAAAAGATACCATACCAGATCAAGTTAGAGGACCTGACTTGAGAAGGAATATCATTTTCTTTTGAAGGAATACCAAATTTCCATAGCCAGTACAGAATTGGATGGGCAAAAATGGTTTTGGTTCAAAATTGCTACTTCGTAACTTTAGAATTTTTTTCTTTTACTTCGGAAATGTTTTTGTAGATTTAGATTCTATGAAATCTGAATTCCATTCCCGCTACATTGGTGATTTATGCAACCAAATGTAAAATGAAATATTTATTCTAATATGAAATTAGGCAAGTATTCTATTATGACATTTATTATAAATAGTCCTTACTTTATGCATGATGGCTGATTTACTGTACTCATATCTAGGGTTATCTGTGGCATACTTATCTGGTAGGCATTCAGTGAGTGGCCAACAATTTGGAACATACAGTCAAGATGATGTTGATGCACTGCGGGCATTAGCTGAAGAACCTGGTGTAGTAGACTTGTTCCTAACATATCCTTGCTTTAAAATTAATGATCTTCCTTGCTTGTAATTGCACTTTTTCTGCTTATACAGTCTGCTTTTTTTCTTTTCCTTAACTGGACATTACTAATGAATGGCCAAGCGGGGTCACAAACCGAGCTGCTACATCTGATCTTCCTATAGGAATCTCTGATTCATCTGGTAGCAGTTCCACCGTATCAGAATTAGTAACAGAGATTAAGCCTCGGTAAGTTGTGATTGGTAATTCTTCTTTGGGAGTTATTGTATGCAATTTTGTGATCGAACCAGGTTTGAAGCTCCTCGTGAGAGTCTCACCCTAGGGGGGGAAAAAAAACAAAAAATTGTTTTTTTTTTTAATATTGACTGTATGCCTCTTGCTAGAATTATTTAAAGGCCTAATATATCTGCTAGGGTGAGACTCTTGCTCCAAGTAATAATATATATCTGCTAATTATCATCATTGATTTTGCCTCATCATTTTCGGCATAATAATTTGATTGTTTGATTGAACAACACTAGCTTCATTTGTAGTATATTGTTCCCTTTTGAGTATCTCTTCCTTAAGCATAGTGTCTAAAAGCTCGTGCTTCAACTGGGAAACAAAAGCCTTCACAAAATCTCTATGCCCATCTGATTTATCTTTCAAGTATTGGGTTTCCCCCCTTTATTGGTAATATTTTGACTATGTAATTACCTTCTATATTCATATAACTAAAAAAATTTCAATAAACTCTATTGAATTGGCTGGGATGGCAGCCAAATCAACTTTGGTCATCTTTTTTTTAAGTAATTAGCAATTCATGATCCAGGCATAGAGCTGTGGTGGTACATGGATTAGTGTCTCGACCAAAAATAGTAAATCAACTTTGTTAACCTCAGTTGAGTTATTGCATGAATATCTACTATTCAGTAGTAGAAGTAGAAAGGAAAGGATGGTAAAGAGACAAAAGGCTGTCAGAATCTTGTCATAAAACACATGGTTGGTTTTTATAAAGCAGCATCTCAATGCCTTTGGTTCCTTTTTTTGGGTTAAATTTACAGAAATTCACTAGCTGTGCTTGCTTTTCATCTACTTCATTACCTAAATTCAAATTTGAATATAATTTATCTTCCTGATTAAAGTATTATTTTGTAGCTACCATGTTGCAGGTACTAAGGGTGTATTTTTTGCTCGAGAACCCTATGCCAATGTTGAAGCTGTACATGTAACCCGATTCATAGGTCTTGCTCCCGTTGGAAACAAAAATAAACAGGTATTGGCTATTTTTCTTAGCATGATGTTCTATAATTTCTGGTCTTTTCTTTTCTAGCAGTGTTGTTCGTTGGCAATAGTTTTGTTTTGAAACTTTATTTTTTAAGTTTTTTGTTCACTTGCACGTTTGTTAAGTCTCCGCAAATGATCAGCAGTTGAAACTTGATGGCAACATTGTGGCTTATTGCTCATATTTAAGTTTTAACTTTATGAATAGAATTTATTTATTTTTTGGTTCTTTTTATATTATCCCTTTGGTACAGGTTTTATCTGAGTCATCTGTTACCTGCTAGCAGCATTTGTGTGTTTCTGTGTTTTAGGGTGCATTTTTTATGCATTCTGAATTTTATATAATTCTTTAAAATTACTACATGCATTTGGTTTTTTTTTTTTTTTTAATTGAGCTCTTCGTCATAAGCTTGGAAAGATCCAAAACAAATCTGTACCAAGAAAGAAAGAACTAAACAAATGCTGTTTGATCTTGTGTAAATTGTACAATAAATCTAAGTTGCCTTTCTGTTTCTACATCAACTGCATTGAGCTTCGAGTCATTTTTATAACATTTGGTTCATGTTTTTGCACAGAAATTTATACATGCAATTTCTCCTACTCCAGCATCTACCATGTCTGCTTCTGAGATTTGCATGAAGCCATCAAATACTACCTTATTTCCATTTACATCCACTGAGAAAGCAGCCCAGACTGATGGAGCGGCAAAGAGACCTAGTGATACTTCTGACTCACAATATTGGCGGTATGATGTCTCCCAGAAAAGGCGTAAACATGGAGATGGTGACAGCAATATGCTGTGTTTTAAATTTTTTTCTTCTGGCTCTTGTGTACGAGGGGAGAAATGCCACTTTCAGCATGATGGTGACGCAAGAGAACAATATTTGAGAGGTGTGTGTTTTGATTTTCTTAACAAAGGAAAATGTGAAAGGGGTCCAGATTGCAACTTTAAGCACAGTTTACAAGAAGAAGGCAACGCCTTTCCTAACAGGAGACCTGGATCTGGAAATGCAAATGCTGACAGGTTGGTTTTGTTATATGAATCACTCAAATTTTTAGGACTATTCATTTCAATTTAATTTTGTGTTAGTTCAAGATGCATCAGTTATTTTGTTGTGTTAAGAACATACATGCCAATAAATTACTTAATTTCTGATTTTCTTAACCCACTTATGATGCCAGTTTCTGTTGAAAAAATCACTCCGCCTCTGATTTTCAGGTCAAGAGATTGCTGGTTTTGCTTGTCAAGTCCGAGTTTGGAGTCACATCTAATCACTAGTATTGGGGAACATTACTACTGTGCACTTGCTAAAGGACCGCTAATTGAAGATCATGTGCTCATAATACCTGTTGAGCACATTCCTACTACCCTTGCATCTCCCCCAGAATGTGAAATAGAGTTAATTAGATTCCAGAAAAGCCTGAAAATGTATTTCAAGAACCAAGGGAAGGAAGTTGTTTTCTTTGAGTGGGTTTTCAAACGCGGCACTCATGCTAATCTTCAGGTAAATTTAATCTCCATTTCAAATGTTTTTAGGTTGTGTAGTTATGCGCAAGAGCATGGTATGTAAAGTAGATTGCTTGTGGTTTTTGTCTCACATTGTGAACATGCTGACAAGAGTTTATATAGATTTTTTTCTACTTGGCTCTCTTTCTCATGTTACCCCCTCTTTCGCTCCCTCTCTAATACTTTCCAATAAGAGGACAATCAAACTTCCATATGCCTCAATTGCATGATAGATTGCCTCCTTAATGTTGACCATTCGGCGGGAACAATGTTGTGCACTCATAATAGCATTTTGTCTACATCCAATATGCTACATAGAGAATGAGTCTATAAACTTACTTTTGTACCTCTGTTAAGACATGATTTTGTAATATATCCAATAATGTGTTTACAGCATCACATTGCTTACATTCTTTTGACTGGTACTTTTATTCTTATTTGAACTATCTCCATTTTTTTCTTGCAGGTTATTCCCATTCCGTCATCCAGAACATCTGCTGTTCAAGACATCTTCAATTTAGCTGCTCAAAAGTCAGGGTTTGAATTCTTGGTGATAAAAAGTAAGTTTAATTCTTCTAGTAACTAATCTCTATATGGCATTTCTATTTTATTCTGACACGGTTCCTTCAAATGCCCCCGAGGGTGTTGGCTTGATTCAATGTTATGGTGTAGAATTTTAGAAGACACCACCCTATTTAAAGAGTATAAAATATTAAAACTACGTAATAATCCAGCAGTGCTGTACTTGGTGCTCTCTCCATTATCCCCCTTGATGCCTTTTATTTTATGAAGTGCTATCGTGCGACTTCTGCATCTTCATCCTTTTGTCTCTTTACTTACAGATGGTAATAGTTCTGAAGGGAGAAAATTGCTGCAAATGCAATTTGATAGAAAATGTAGTTTATTCTATGTGGAACTACCTGGAGGTACAATACTTTACCATTCTGTTGAAGAGAATGAGAAATTCGCGGTCCAATTTGGTCGTGAGGTAGATGCTCATGCTCTCTCTAATACTAAAATTATATTCATTGCAACTTTTGTTTCTTGGCAATTTCTTTGCCTGGCATATTCTTATTTCTGAAGTCCAAGATAAGAAGAAAAAAAACAAAAACAAAAACAAAGACAATGCCCAATTAGTACACATTAATATGTGTTTGGGAGGGGAAATATTACGTATACACCTAACCTTTGGCATAATGCACAAAGTGGTGCTCACTGGTCCCAAGACTTGAACTCATAACCTCAATTATAGAAAATTTTAATGTTTGATCACCCAATTGATTGGTTATGATCTTAGAAATTCTTATCTGAAACATGTTGCTAATAGGCTGTTAATTGATGTTTGCGTCATTTTTGATGAATCATGTTGACTGTGTGTGCAATGCCAGGTTCTGGCAGGCTTGCTGAACAAAGCGGATAGGGCAGATTGGAGGAATTGTAAGCTCAGCAAAGAAGAAGAAGAAAAGATGGTAGAAAGCTTCAAGAATCGCTACAAAGAATATGACCCAAACCCGTGATTCTCTACAGGAGGTGTGGAACCTGAAATTATTCATCCTGCTTTGATTGAGTTTCAGAATCTTTTTTTTCCCAATAGAACTACAAATTACTTTGGTGAAAAAAATGACGTTACTCGTTATTTTTGCTTGGGTTTCTCTTTTTTGGGACAAAATAATTTTTAAAATTTTGAAAATAAATTTTTGGTGTTTTTCTATTTTTTTCAAAAAAGAAAAAAGAAAAAAAACATATTCTGAAAATTCAACCAAACAAGATTATTACGATTGTGGTTGTACTTTCCCTTTTCAGGCCATTCCATTTCTGGATCACCCAATGGTTACTTATCTCAATTACTCCTTGTAATTTTCTTCTGAAATGTTGCTAGGATTATATCACCATCTCATCTCTGAAGTGGAAGAGAACCAACCTTGACGACATCTATACTAAGCCATCCCCACTGCCTCTCCACATACCGCCACCTGATGTATAAGCTTTTCGAATCGGGTATCTCATTAAGAGGTGGATTTCCTCGTATTTTGGAGCCTTGGGTCCCATCCCGATGTCTCATATTTAAAGCAGGAAAAAATGTGACCATTTGATGTCACGAGGAACTTGCATTTGAAGTTCACATATCAGGTCCACATGCGCAACATGCCCCACAATTTTGTTGCCATTTTTTGTTTTTTTGTGAGAAGCAATTTTGTTGTCATCCTGAACTTGCAGAGCATTAATTATTGAGGAACTTTATGAAATTGGCATCTTTCTTCCACTTGTTTTGTACTAGTTAGATGGTTCCAACATGCAGAGAACTAATGAATGTATGGAGTGTCACTTGTAGTTTTTAATGCAATTGAGACTTTTCAAGCAAGATGTTTTTTTGGTTCTTGTCCTTTCATTTACCGTTGAAGATGGTAAATTATTCCGTCTGAGAGTATGAATGTAACATGTGAACATAGCGTTCCAACAATTGAAGCTTTTGCAAAAATGAATGGATTGGGTTAACATTGTCTCCTATTCAACTGATTAAGATAGATCAAGTTAATACATTCGTGATTACTATTCTTATTGGTATGAGAGCATCATGTCAATGTCAATGTTCAGTTGGTATTTCGAGATTGTTGAATAATTTATTCGAATGCTATTTCTAATATTGGGCTTGTTTGCTTCAGATTTTAGATATCAGATTATAAATTTTAGCTTTCAAAAAGCTATTTCAGACTGTTTGTTTAAACTTTCGTTTATTAGCTTCTGATTTTGGAACTTTTTTCCTTGAAGAAAAGTGGTTGGAATCAAAAGTTGCTCCCAGCAGCTTCTGCGTTTGAGATTAAACGGAGAGCATGTGAAATTATTGAAATGCCCTCGTCAATTTCAACTATTACCAAAAACCCAATTATATGAACTCCATTTTTCAAAACACTATTCATTTGCTCACTGGAGAGAGAGAGAGAGAGAGGTGATTTCAGCCAGCGATTTTCAACGAGAGCAATTTCTAGCAAAGGCAAACCAGAGTCTCTCTTTTCACTATCTCTTCTCTCTCTCTCTCTTTCGCGATCTTAAACTCTCTCTTTGTCACCACTGCCATCGCGATATAAAGCCCTAACCAGAGAGGCAAAACCCTCCCATCACCATCACGTTGAGGGGCAAATCCTTTCGTCACCTAGCGTCGCAATTTGGTCAGAGAACCACCGTCATCGCGTTAACAAACTGGAGCGTTTTCTCTCTGTCTCTCTCTTCGCAATCTGGTCAGAGAACCAGGCTAGGGTTTTGGTAGATCGAAAGGTCTAGGGTTTCGGGGGAAGGGGAAGGGGAAGGAGAAGGAGAAGAGGGGCTAGGGTTTTAGTAGAATGGTGATGATGACGATTGACGGCTCGCGCATCTCCGGCATTGTTTCGACGATGGCTAGGTCATCGATGGCGCTCCCTCTGCCGTTCCAGATCGACGGCACTCCATCTCCGGCCTTGTACCCAACATTAATATAAAAAATATATATATAAAATAACAATTTTCATATTGATTGATACTAATTATATTAACTTTCATTAATGAAATAATTTGATACTAATTGTTGAACAAAAATCACAATTAATAATAATAATAAAGAAAAGAAATACAGATATAAATAATTAAAATGAATATATAAAAAATAATATGTAATGAAATCACAACATTAATATAAATTAGAACATGAATATTAATTGGTATTAATTTTAATGAATTAATAAATTAAACAAAATTAACAAAAAAAAGAAGAGAAGGGGAAAAAAAAAAGAAGAGAAAAGAAATTAAGGAGAAAAAGAAAAGAAAATTAAAAAAAAAAAAAGAAAAAAAAATTATTATAAATGAAATCATAAATTTTATATTTTATAAGGACAAAAAGGACATTATACAGTAAAAAGCTATTTTATAGCTTATTCAACCAAATACTACTCTACTGATTAAATCTATAATCTCATAATTGCACCAAACAGGTTAACAACATATATTTAAAACTATAATTTATAAAAGGTATAATTTATAATTACTTTCTCACAACTACACCAAACGGATGGCTGATTGTGTTGTGTTTATTGTCAATCCATTAATCTTCCATTGCTCTTTCAATAGAAGGTTTTTTTTTTTTTTTTTATAATTAATATAAAATTGTGTTTAGATTTTAAATTTGAGATGGGTGCTTTTATGTTTTTCTTTTCCGAACACAGCCCTGGATTGTGGTGGGAAGCAAGCAACTGTGTTGGGAATATTCATTAGAAGAAGGCACCTCTTTTTCAGCCTTAGCAAAAGTAAAAGGAAAAAATAAAATAAAATTATGAACTTTTTGGATTGATGAACGAGGGCAATGTGCATATCTGCACATGGTTGTTGAAATGAACCATTATAGGCTTTTTGTTTTATATTATTATATTATTATTATTATTATTTTTAATTTCACAAGTTATCCATAATTAATATTATAAGCTTCACCATACAATATAACGAAGCAAGTTATTTTAACCCAGGGGTGAGTGGCAACCTGGTAAGCGCATGGGGTTTAAGCCCCTAAGTCCTGGGTTCAACTCTCCTCTGGGCCAATCTCCTGAGCGTAGCACAGTTGGTTAGGAGGTTAACCTCAAGGATACCTTATCAGTTACTTGGTGTGGGTTTAATTCTCCCCTGCTGTGCGAGTCCTGACTTAAGCGGAACTTGCCTTGGGAGGTCGGGACAAGCTTCCAGGTTATAGTCTCTTACTCAAGGTCGGGACAAGCTTCCAGGTTATAGTCTCTTACTCGGAACGGACAACAGGACACCCTGGTGATCTCCTTAAGGGGCGCTGCGGGAACTTGCCTTGGGAGGTCGGGACAAGCTTCCAGGTTATAGTCTCTTACTCGGAACGGACAACAGGACACCCTGGTGATCTCCTTAAGGGGCGCTGCGGGAACTTGCCTTGGGAGGTCGGGACAAGCTTCCAGGTTATAGTCTCTTACTCGGAACGGACAACAGGACACCCTGGTGATCTCCTTAAGGGGCGCTACCTTGGACCTGCGGGAGAGTGGGAGGATTTTCCTGTAACAAAAACAAAACAAAAAAAAACAAAACAAAACAAAAACAAAAAAAAAAGGAAGTTATTTGTGTTAGGTTGTTAAAAATTTATTCAAAATTAGTTCGTAACGTAAATAAGTTTAATTTAATTAAATTGTAAAGCTCGTTAAGTTTTGAAACTAAAATTGAATAATTTTTACTTCTTTTCATAAATTTATATGTATTATAAAAATTAAATTACTTGAGTTAGATTCGATTAAAATTTGTTTGAAATTGATTCAAAAAATAAATAAATAAAATTTAAATATATTTTAAAATTTATTAAAATTTTCAAAGTAAATTTAAGTAACATACATTTACAGTTATACCCAAGAGGGAAGAGCAAAAGGGAGCAATTGCCCGTACATTCTCTATTGTTTGTACACCAAGGATCCTCTAGAGTGAAATTTTCCTAAAGTTTCCTATAAAATGACCTTTTTTGTTTCCATTTTTAAAAAAATACTTTTAGAAAATTTTACTTTCTTATTTTTCGTATTTTTTTATTTTTATTGAATTTTTTTTATATTTTAAGTAATTTTTTTACTTTTTAGACACACTTAACACAAATATACTTAGTATAATTTTTGTGAAAAAAATATTTAAAAAATTCAGTAAATATCAAAAATACAAAAAAAAAATGAAAATTCAATAATTTTTTATATTTTTGTGTATTTATTAATCTTTTAAAATGTTTTTTCACAAATATTTTATTTTTTAGATACATCTAAGTAATGTGTAGCTAAAAAAGTAAAAAAAAAACTTAAAATTTTAAAAATATTCACTAAAAAAATACGAAAAATAAAAAACTCAATTTTCAAAAAATTAAATTTAAAAGACTAAAACCAAACACACTGTAATATTTTAAAATAATAAAAAAAATTAATATTTTAAAACGAAACAAATAGTACATAATTTTGGCTAAATATGAACTTCAAAAAAATAAAATAAAAAAATAATTATCCATAGTGAAGAATGTTGTGGAAAAAAATTGTCTGTCAAACCATTCATAAGGGGGCTTTCATTATTCGTTGTCAATCTCTCTCTCTCTCTCTCTATCTCGTCTACTCTGACCACCCAATTACAGATGGACCCACGTATTATTAGCATTTACCCAGTGGCTTAAACTATTTTTTTTTTATTACAAATGTTACGTAAAATTTTTAAAAATAAAATTATATATTTTTATAATAATATATATATTTTTGTAATAAAATTATACATTCTGTTATTCAAAATATTTTGATAAAAAAATGTGTAATATTACAAATAAATATATAATTTTATTTTTGAATTATAAATTATCATGAATTTATTAAAAATTTATGTAATATTTATCACAAAAATATATAATACAAAACTAAGTAATAAAATGCGTATAAGACCATCTCCAACGGTTCATCAAACCCAGCATCAAATTTAAAATTTGGTGAAAAAGTTACTGTTTGATGCTCCAACGGTTGCACCAAATCGATATCAAAATGAGATTTCACCAAACATTTCATCAAACTGAGAACAGGCGAAGCATTTCACCAAATCACTGTTACTGACCGTTGGGGTGACACCAACTGGTCGACCAGCCGGTTGACCGGCCGGTTGACCAACCGGTCAACCAGTAAAAGATTCAAATAGTTCAAAAACAAAGTTCAAACAGTTCAAAAAAAAATCCCTAACCGGTCAACCGGCCGGTCGACCACCCGGTCGTCCTGGAAAAAGTTCAGAAAGTTCAATAAAAACGGTTCAGACAATTAAAAAAAAAAAAAAATTCACTCACCGATCGACCAGCCGGTTGTCCCGGGACAGATTTGGTGAAAGGTGAACCGTTGGAGTATCTG